AGCACAGAAACCACTAAAATACTGCATTCATTTTTAATACAAAACTCTGACATTGACTGCTTCGCTTAAGGCTTGAATTCAAGGCAGAAAACTAATTTAGAGGAGAACAACTAGGTTACTTCTGTATTAGAAGCTAGGCAAATTATACATTTATAAACCATTATCTAATTGAAGCTTCCTTATTTACTTAGGCATTTATAAAAGATTTAGATTCAGAGAGGGAATGAATTATTTGCATCTTTTATTAGATATAAATTAATCAAAGTTCCTAGACGTTATGGTGATAAGTGATATAAAAATAGTGAAGAAAGAGTCTGGAAGGTTGAAATGCCAGATCCATTCTTGGAGCGCTCTCAGATATATCTGATGTTAATATTTTTTTTGTCCACTATGTAAGCATGGAGAATTTGGGGAGGGGCAGTAGAGATAGAATCATAGAATCATAGGACTGGAAGGGACCTCGAGAGGTCATCGAGTCCAGCCCCCCGCCCTCAAGGCAGGACCAAGCTCCGTCTACACCATCCCTGACAGATGTCTATCTAACCTGTTCTTAAATATCTCCAGAGAGGGAGATTCCACCACCTCCCTTGGCAATTTATTCCAATATTTGACCACCCTGACAGTTAGGAATTTTTTCCTAATGTCCAATCTAAACCTCCCTTGCTGCACTTTAAGCCCATTACTCCTTGTCCTGTCCTCAGAAACCAAGAGGAACAAATTTTCTCCTTCCTCCTTGTGACACCCGTTTAGATATTTGAAAACCGCTATCATGTCCCCCCTTAATCTTCTTTTTTCCAAACTAAACAAGCCCAGTTCATGAAGCCTGGCTTCATAGGTCATGTTCTCTAGACCTTTAATCATTCTTGTCGCTCTTCTCTGTACCCTTTCCAATTTCTCTACATCTTTCTTGAAATGTGGCCCAGAACTGGATACAGTACTCCAGCTGAGGCTTAACTAGTGCAGAGTAGAGCGGCAGAATGACACCAAAAGTTTTGCTTACAACACACCTGCTGATACAACCTAGAATCATATTTGCTTTTTTGGCAACAGCATCACACTGTTGACTCATATTCAACTTGTGGTCCACTATGACCCCTAGATCCCTTTCCGCCATGCTCCTTCCTAGACAGTCGCTTCCCATCTTGTATGTATGGAACTGATTGTTCCTTCCTAAGTGGAGCACTCTGCATTTCTCCTTATTAAACCTCATCCTGTTTACCTCTGACCATTTCTCTAACTTGCTAAGGTCATTTTGAATTATGTCCCTATCCTCCAAAGAAGTTGCAACCCCACCCAGTTTGGTATCATCCGCAAACTTAATAAGCGTACTCTCTATCCCAATATCTACATCATTGATGAAGATATTGAACAGTACGGGTCCCAAAACAGACCCTTGAGGAACTCCACTTGTTATCCCTTTCCAGCAGGATTTAGAACCGTTAACAACAACTCTCTGACTACGGTTATCCAGCCAATTATGCACCCACCTTATCGTGGCCCTATCTAAGTTATATTTGCCTAGTTTATCAATAAGAATATCATGCGAGACCGTATCAAATGCCTTACTAAAGTCTAGGTATATGACATCCACCGCTTCTCCCTTATCCACAAGGCTCGTTATCTTATCAAAGAAAGCTATCAGATTAGTTTGACATGACTTGTTCTTCACAAACCCATGCTGGCTATTCCCTATCACTTTATTACCTTCCAAGTGTTTGCATATGATTTCCTTAATTACCTGCTCCATTATCTTCCCTGGGACAGACGTTAAACTGACCGGTCTATAATTTCCTGGGTTGTTCTTATTCCCCTTTTTATAGATGGGCACAATATTTGCCCTTTTCCAGTCTTCTGGAATCTCCCCTGTCTGCCATGATTTTTCAAAGATCATAGCTAAAGGCTCAGATACCTCCTCTATCAGCTCCTTGAGTATCCTGGGATGCATTTCATCAGGACCTGGTGACTTGCTGACATCTAACTTTCCTAAGTGATTTTTAACTTGTTCTTTGTGTATCCTATCTTCTAAACTTACCCTCTCTCTGCTTGTATTCACTACGTTAGGCACACCTCCAGACTTCTCGGTGAAGACCGAAACAAAGAAGTCATTGAGCATCTCCGCCATTTCCAAGTTCCCTGTTACTGCTTCTCCCTCCTCACTAAGCAGTGGGCCTACCCTGTCCTTGGTCTTCCTCTTGCTTTTAATGTATTTATAAAAGGTCTTCTTGTTTCCCTTTATGCCTGTAGCTAGTTTGATCTCATTTTGTGCCTTTGCCTTTCTAATCTTGCCCCTGCATTCCCGTGTTGCTTGCCTATATTCATCCTTTGTTAGTTGTCCTAGTTTCCATTTTTTATATGACTCCTTTTTTATTTTGAGATCATGCAAGATCTCCTTGTTAAGCCAAGCTGGTCTTTTGCCATATTTTCTATCTTTCCTACACAGCGGAATTGTTTGCTTTTGGGCCCTTAACAACGTCCCTTTGAAATACTTCCAACTCTCCTCAGTTGTTTTTCCCTTCAGTCTTGCTTCCCATGGGACCTTACCTACAAGTTCTCTGAGCTTATCAAAATCTGCCTTCCTGAAATCCATAACCTCAATTGTGCTGGTCTCCCTTCTACCTTTCCTTAAGATCATGAACTCTATTATTTCATGATCACTGTCCCCTATACTGTCTTCCACTTTCAAGTTCTCAACTAGTTCCTCCCTATTTGTTAAAACCAAATCCAGAACAGCTTCTCCTCTGGTAGCTTTTTCAACCTTCTGAAACAGAAAGTTGTCTCCAATGCAGTCCAGAAACTTATTGGATAGCCTGTGCCTCGCTGTGTTAGTTTCCCAACATATGTCTGGATAGTTGAAGTCCCCCATCACCACCAAATCTTGGGCTTTGGATAGTTTTGTTAATTGTTTAAAAAAGGCCTCATCCACCTCTTCCACCTGGCTAGGTGGCCTGTAGTAGACTCCTAGCATGATATCACCCTCGTTTTTTACCCCTTTTAGCTTAACCCAGAGACTCTCTACACAGCTATCTCCTACGTTCATCTCCACTTCAGTCCAAGTGTGTACATTTTTAATATACAAGGCAACCCCTCCTCCCTTTTTTCCCTGACTGATAGAGTCATTGCTCTTTATAGAATGGTTCAAAGACCTAAATTACGAGTCCACCATATGCTGGGCCAAATTCTGCAGCAATATTCATTCCCACTATCTTCATGAAACCCCCCCGCCATTCCCATCCCCAACCAAAATGCACACAACTGTGGCTTACAGTTGAAAACAGTTCATGATGTAACATCAACCGGTCATTATTTTCAAATATTTCTCCCACTGCACCATGTTCTCCCAGCAGTCCCATATCCTTTCCCAGGCCTTGATCTCATGGTGGAAACCTCTTTTGCTCCCATACAGGAGAGCTTGTAACTAATTTTAGTGACTCACTTCCCCTTACTTTTGGGCCCTGGTTGGCCAGTGATGATAGAGGTAGAAGAACCTTTGGAACGGGTTTGGAACGGGTCCCATATGAAGAGAGATTAAAAAGGAGTGGACTTCTCAGTTTAGAAGAGAGGCGACTAAGGGGGGATATGACTGAGGTCTATAAAATTATGACTGGTGTGGAAAAAGTGAATAAGAAAAAGTTATTTACTTATTCCCACAATATAAGAACTAGTGGTCACCAAAGGAATTAATAGGCAGCAGGTTTAAAACAAACAAAAGGAAGATTTTCTTCACTTAGCGCACAGTCAACCTGTGGAACTCCTTGCCAGAGGATGCGGTGAAGGCTAGTACTTTAACAGGGTTAAAAAAAAAGCTAGATAGATTCATAGAGATTAGGTCCATCAGTGGCTATTAGCCAGAATGGGTAGGAATGGTGTCCCTAGCCTTTATTTCTCTGGAGGTAGAGGACGGGGAGGGCTCTCGTGAGGATTACCTGTTGTGTTCCCTCCTTCTGGGGCATCTGGTATTGGTCACTGTTGGCAGACAGGATACCGGGCTGGATGTACCTTTGGTCTGATTCAGTGTGGCCATTCTTACGTTCTTACGTTCACAGAAGAGAGGCCCTTATTCAGTTTATACACGGTCCCTATTTAAAATTTCTGAGCACCGTAAAAGGTGGAGGAAGTCAATAGCTGCCACAATGTAAACAATGGGCTCGCTCCACTGACGTCAATGGAAAGACGCCACTGAGTTCTTTGGCTCATGCCCAGTTTGCGTATGCATCTCCTGATCGCATGCAGAGGATTAGACGCACTCACATTCGGAGAGCTGGCCAGGCTGGTGGAGGGACTGAGCAGAAATTAACAGGGATTCTGCCAGCAATGGTTCTCCTCAAAGGACAGTGACCAAAACAGAGAATTCACCCAGTTCCAGATCTCGAGTGGGAGGCTCTTCTCTGTCTCACAGGTGGGCTCCTGCATCACTGTCTCAAGCACCAACGTGTAGCGCTTCCTCTGAGCGTGCAAGCGCCAAGGGAAGCTGAAATTTAGGGTCGAGGTTTATTCTTTGCAGGTCAGTCCCTGGGGATGGCATAATCCTGAACATTTAGCATGCTCATCCCATCTAACAGGAACAATGGAACAGGGAAAGTCTGATCCAAAACCTACTGGACTCAATGGGAAGACGCCCACCAACCTGAATGGGCTTTGCATCAGCTAGTATGTAACACACCTCACTTCTATGCCCTGGCGTGCCAAATGGTCAACTGACCCACTCGAATACCAGCTCACGTATCGTTCCCTTATCAAGTGTTCTTTGCATCCACAGGTTCTCTGCCTTAGCATTAAATCATTAAGTTGTGTTTCTGAATACAAACAGGGCTCTTAGCCCTCAGCGCTATAGCACATCACTGATGCGTTCTACGCACACTAATCAGTGGAAACTGCATTCACAGTGGGAAGAATTAGATGCACATAGGACCGTATACGATCCAGAGACTATTATCCCAGGGACTGATTAATATGATGTAATCACACACCAAGGAAAAATGAACTATGAATAGATAACTCACCTCAAGCACAAGAAGAGCATGAAAGCCACAATAAGTGCTCCTATAGATATACAGTGTCCCAGGTAGTTTATGATGAGAGCAATCTTGTAATGGAGTGCGTACTTCCTCTGGAGGTAAAGAGATAACATGATTAAATCAGCACAAGTCTCTGAACATTGACATTAAGGAACCGTTAATCAGTTTAGGAAACTGTAATTACTTTTCTTGATTTTAAGATGATGTTATAATAATAACTCAAGGGCTACAGTTATGGATTAGCCACGTATATAGTCCAGACATAAAAATGCAGGTCTTCTACCCACACGGGAAGTTTCAGTTTGCAATTTTTTCTAAACAGATCTGGCACAACAGAACTTTTCTGCGGAACTTCAATAGGATTCAGTATTGCCTGGCTTATACTGTTTAAATCTTCATACCTTAAAGCCAGCCATGATGTGAAAGGCATGGGACACTTTGGAATGACAAAGTCACAATTCCGACAGGAAATGAAATGGTGAAATTACTTTGATGTTTAGAAGCCAGGATTAAGGTCAGACTGGTTTCCCTATTGGTTAAAGTTTCCTTGTGAAAATAATATTCGGTGTCACGGAAGCACTTTGCAAGCAAAGGGCCTGATCCTTCCAACTCTTATTTGAATTGATAAAGTTTTGAAAGAGTTGGAACCTGGTGATCTGAACACAGGGCTGGAAGCCGCCTAATTCTAAGTCCAGTTTTAACTTGCTCTTGCTTTATGTACATTTCTCTCTATCTCAGGGTATTGTAAGAATAAAATCGGCTAGGGCCTGACTCCGAAGACATAGACCGAGTTTTAAGCACATGAATACACCCACTGAAATCAATGGGATGAGTTTTGTGATTCCCACAACAAATACATACCAGATTACTACTCTGTGAGCTGCAGTCAGAAAGAACACACCCAGCCATGCCAGTGGGTAGCAGGGATGCAGTATTTTAAAATGAACCCGCAGAAGGATTTTTAATTGAAAAAGTCTTTACTTGATTAGGAGATTTCTCCTTTTGTCCCAATTTTTCCATGAATTTTTAAGTTTTTTTGACAAATGGGACATTTTCAGTATGGGATATTTCTCCCCCAGTTCTTTCATTTTTTTCTTCCTCACACTTGTTCCCACAAAATGGCAAAAGCAAACAAGAGAAAGGGAGGGGGAAAATAAAAAGCAGTTGTTCTCAGCTGTCTAACCTCAACAATTTCATTTGTCTGTCAAAACCCCCTTTGGCCAAAATGAAAATTTTTGTGAAAAATTCTCCTTTCGGTTGCAAAACCAGGGGTAGCTGCATAAAGGTTTTGAGGAATGATTTTCCCCACCAGCTGAAGTAAATAGCCTTTTCAGTGCTGACAAAACAACACCGGGCCAGCAACTCCCTAAAGAGACAGCCTTGCCGGCAACATTTTCATGATCAAATCTACCTAAGTCTTCAGCATACACTGCAATATGCTATCCTTGGAGAGAACTAAGTTATGTGTCTCTCTGTCTGTGTGTGCGGGGGGGAGGGGCAGTTAAAATGTATTCTGAAGTCCCCTTGAGCATCACCCTCAACTACCTATTTCTGAATAGCCCTGAGGAGGAAAAGACACAAGATGAAACTCAACCTGATCCTTTATACCTGTCATCAGATAAGCAAAAGGACAGGGGGAGAGGGAAGGGGAATCTTATAATTTGCACTGCTCCTAACAAATCAAATGGCAGTTTGCATTTTCATGTAAAGTATACTGACCCGATACATTACAGCATTTATTTCATGCTGAAATGCCATTTGAGTGCCAGGCACTTTCTGGAAAGAATAGAATATTTCCTCCTGTCCAGAAGAGCTTACACTGTAAATTAGATATTACTCATCTCATTTGCGTCACAACTGTTATTTTCACTTTGCACATACTGTACGGGGTCACTGTTTGGAAGAGAAACTTTAAGAATATGAAGCCCCTTTCCAAGCACCAGCCCCAAAGAAGAAAAAGGACTTCCTTTGCTGTCACTGATGCGAATCTGAGACTCACGTTTTCCCCAAGGCAAACTCAGAACCCATAGAGAGGAGCATAATATATTAAAACTTCCTACCTGTCAGGGTGCTTAAACACTGGAATAAATTGCCTAGGGGAGTTGTGGAATCTCCATCTCTGGAAATATTTAAGAGCAGGTTAGACAGACACTTGTCAGGCATGATCTACACCAGTGTTTCTCAACCAGTGGTACTAGTACCCTCAGGGGTATTCGAGAGAAGTCTGGGTGGAGGGGGGGGGGTACATCAATACAACTGAAACTTAGAGAAAACTGAATTTTTCTTTTAAGTTTTACAGCGCTTTATTCATTTTGTGCTTTTTATACCAAAAATTTCATTACCCGCCTGGCTACGATTAAGTTGTTTAAACAAATGTGTTCAATGGTTGAAAAAATTTTGTCTCTCTGAAAACTGTAGGTACTGGGGGTACTTATAATTTGTTTTTGAAAAAGGGGTACTTTATAAAAAAAAAGGTTGAGAAACACTGATAGGGTATGTCTAGACTACAGTGTTATTTTGAAATATCTTATTTCAAAATAGTTAATTCGAAATAAGTTATTTCAAAATAACACGTCTACACACAAAATGCATTTTGAAGTAGTGTTTTGCTATTTCGAAATAGCTCATCCACACTGAGTGGACGCTGAATTGCATTTAAGGCCAGCCAGAACCAGGTCCGGTAGGGCATCAGGTCCGGAGTTTGTGTGGCTGCTTCCTGAGGCCTGTGCTTAAAGGGACCCCTCCCTTCCCCCTGGCAGTCGGTTCTCAGGTTTCCCTGCTTGCTTGGCTACCTCGATGAGGGACAGCAAAGCATTTTGTCTCTGTATGCTCTGGTTGCCCTCACTTGGGACACCACAGCACTCTGCAACATGGAGCCAGAGCTGCCCCTGGCCACTCTGGTGCTTCTCTTGGATGCGTTGCTGTGAGCCTGGCTGCACTTTCTGCTGGCTGCCAGTCCATTGGGGGGCTGTCAGTATCCAGGAGGCCCTGTGGGAGAGCTTCCACCCTGAGGAGCACTAAGAGCCTCCCTGGTCTGCCCCACTGGGGGCCTGTGCCTCGTTCCTCCCTCATGTCCTTCCACTTACCCCTCCCTAACCCCCCTCCTGATATAAAATAAAATACACGTACTTTCATGAACACAAACTCTCTTTATTTAACAAAACTGGGAGGGAATGAAACTCTGGTGAGACTGGGGAAAGGAGACAGGAGAAGGGAGAAGAGAGGTTGGGAGGAGGGAGCTGAAAGGGGGAAGCAAGGGGAAGAAGGGGGAGGGGAAGCTCAGGGCTCAGGGTTGGGGGTCTTGCAGGACCAACTTGATTTTCATGAGAACCTGCTCCTGGGTTCGCATGTGGCCTTTGGTGGCCAGGCTGGCAGCTATTCTGCCATAGACGGACGCGTTCCTCTGTCTAGGGCAGAGATCGTGGACGTTGGGGGCATCCCCCCAAACCTGAATAAGGTCCATGATCTCCACCCTGGACCAGGAAGGTGCCATGCCCGGCCCGGCCCCATGCAAAGGTGCAGCTACAGAAAGTCCCCTTTTACAGTGCCTTAGACCCTCTCGCCCGGCCTGCTAATGAGAATGGGGCTTTGGGCCGGCGATGGGCAAGGTTTCTCTGCTGAGCTGAAACCATAAATCAGTTTCCCAGGATGCTATTCAATAGCCATCAGCTCATAATGACGCCTGGTCACATAAAGTGCAGGGGGCGGGGCACCGCCCACCATCAGGGGGAATTTGGAAGGTGAGTGGCTGGAGTATGATGTGCTAGTCATACCCATTTACACACAGGGCCCCAATGGGACCGTTCCTGAGGGTAAAGATAAGCATGTGTCTTTGTGAAGCCCCCTTGTGGGTATGTGCCAAAGGCCATCCTCAGCAGAGGAGGTGTGTTTGTAAGAGGCCCTGCAAGGGAGCTAACTTTAGCACCCGCTGTAGCATGCTGTGCTTTGGGCTCTGCAGATTTGCAGTCCTGTTCCCGGTGAGCCAGTCACACTAGAAGAATCGGGTCTGCTGCTTTGAAGAGAAGGATTTAGGAGCCTGTTTAGGCTCTTGAGTACAAGCATCGATGCCGAACAATGGCACCTTTCATTATTAAAAACAGATTTTTTAGGAGCCTGTTTAGGCTCTTAAGTACAAGCATCCATGCCCAACAATGGCACCTTTCATTATTAAAAACAGATTGATGGATGTGGTCACTTAGCACCAACTCACCAATCTGTGGCATAGAATCATAGAATACTAGGACTGGAAGGGACCTCGAGAGGTCATCGAGTCCAGTCCCCTGCCCTCATGGCAGGATCAAATACTGTCTAGGCCATCCCTGATAGACATTTATCTAACCTACTCTTCAATATCTCCAGAGATGGGGATTCCACAACCTCCCTGGGAAATTTATTACAGTGTTTGATCACCCTGACAGTTAGGAATAGTATCAGTTAATATTATTCAGTAACAATCGCACATGCGGGTGGCTGCAACTCACCTTTAATCAAAAAGGGGATTACAAGGAATCCGGGGGGAACACATTTGATCAGAAACCAACCCATGTTTTATTCTGACAGCTGAGCACCCGCTAGATATTTCAGGAATATTCATAAACCTTAATACTTATAAAGTTTGTCATCACCCTTTAAGGATCTCCTAAATGAGTTTTTAAGCTTTTGCACACACAGCGGGTTCGAGGGGGGGAGGGGAGAATCACCACTTTCATATACTGAAGGAATCGGTGGTTTATGAAGTTTTATGGTATTATCGTAGCCGTGAGATTTTAAAGCAAACAATAAAAGTAAAAAATCCCCTGTCGTAGTGGCAATACCCATCAACTCCTGCAAACAAAACTCATCGGGATTTGCTTTCATAAGCAGGCTAACTGTTCAAAGTCATGCAAGAAAAAGGAGAGGTGAGTTTTAGAATGTGTTTCCCTGGACAGGAACAGCAAAGAATATTATTGCGGCTTGCATGCACCAGACCCGCCCGCTTGAAGTTAAAGGAAACCTATTTCTTGTCCTAAAATCACCCTCAGGGCTTTGTACATCATTATTCCTACCTTCATCTGAACACTTGTTCCAACTTACCTCTCTCTCTTTGCACTAGGCTGTGCTAACTCCTTTAATCTTAATCCCTGGTCTCCTTCCCCGGGTGACTAATTTTTCCCTATGCCACCTGTGATGTCTCAAACAGAGTCTCCCATCCACTGTGCCAGTCAAACTCAGGACAGGTCTATAAAAGTCAGGGGTTGTGACTGTACCGCAGACATATCCAAGATGGCTTTAATGTAGCTAGCCTGGTACAGGAGCAGTGAAGCGGCACCGGCAAGGGCTTCAGCGTAGGCTAATCTCATGAGTAGGCTAATCTCATGAGAACCTAGCGTTCTGGATGGACTTGATGCCACCAAGTGCTCCGGTGCGTGAGCTAACTAGATAAAACCAGACTGGGTAGGGCCATGTGCACCGCATCACCCCCATGGAATTGGCATGAGAGAAATAGTGCCAAGGCCTGCCGTAAATCCTCCCCTTGCTTGGCTAGCTCAGTGCCACTAACCGCTTCTTCTGCTGTGTTACTGGGGCTCACAACACACAATGCTTTTGTAATTTGCCCCTCCAAAAACATTGACGCTGAAATGCCTGTGCAGGACTCAGGGTTCGTACTTGAGTGGCCAATCGGTGCGGCGGCAGCTTTAGGGTTGTTAGCGAGTTAGACCAGTGTTTCTCAACCAGTGAACCGCTTCTCCTGCTGTGTTACTGGGGCTCACAACATGCAATGCTTTTCTTCACACTCCGGGAGTCACGTGAATGTGGGACGATCTCAGGGTTCATTTTTATGGCGAGTGTAAATGTCTCGCCCGCGAGGGTTGCAGGGAAGGGCTAGAAAACGTGACTCGAGCGGATCCCTAAGGGCTCACAGAGCAACCCACAGGCAAATGAAAAGCAGCCTGGTACTTCTATTATAAAACTCATGATTTCTAACGTGCTCCCAGGGTTCTGGGGGCTCTGACGTACAATTGTTGAATACACGGGGTTGGCAACATGGCTCCTTTGCCACCGCTTCCTGCTTTCGCCCCGCCCTTAATCCACCTTATCTACCAAGAGACATGAAACGAAAGCCAAACGTTGGGGTGAACAACTGAGTTCTGAACACGAGCCAGCTATTTTTGGGGCATCCCTCCTTTTCCTTTCTCTTGTGCTAGCACGAGGGCTCATGGAGATATTACACTCCTCCAGGCACGTGGGACTTCCATCCTTCACGTATGTTTGTGAAGGGCCTAGCGCCTCCCTAGCAGAGGAGAGGAAAAAACAAAGAAGAAACTGCAAATCCCTGTGCTTCCAGAGCAAAATTCAACCCCTGGGTGGAGAGCCGAGGCACTGCTTACAAACTACGAATAGGACATAAAAAGGATGGACCTGGCACAGGGGTTTGAACCTGCGCTCTCTGCAAGGCGGCCCGTCCCTGCCATCTACAAGGCCAGGCTGTCAATCTGAGCAGACAGGATCTCACACAAAGCTTCCAGCCTTCGTGAAGGAGCCTACAGAACCGAGGAATGACGTTTCCGTCCATGCTGGCGTATTACAGGGTGCGCTGGCTCTGCTACAGACAGATGTGGTCCAACTTGTCTGCTACAATACTACACTGCTAGGTTACTGCCAGTTTCCCCTCCGGCTGCAGAGGCTAAAGTGAGGATGAGGACCAGGAATGCTTGAGACCGAAAGATGCCACGTACCTTGCAGGATCAGGTGGTAAAAGCACGTCAGCGATATACAGAGATCACTATTAGTAGCAATAGCATTACAGTAGCTGCTGTTGGTCCCAAAGTACATTCAGTCCCCACTGGGCTGGGTACTGCACAAGCACACAGGAAGGGGCAGTCCCTGCCCCTAAGAGCCTACAGTCCAACTAGTCCAGACAGAGGGTAAGCATATGCTGCGATCCCAGGTGTGCCTGCAGCATGGGTGAACATACCTGAGTCGAGGTGGTTTGAGCAACAATAGTGGTGAGGCTGCAGCAGGACAGGCTGCACAAACCCACCTGGGGTGTACACAAGGGGGGGGGGAAATCAGGGCACCCCAATCTCCATGTGCTCCTGCAGGCTGGGGAAGGAGGGAGCAACAGGCGACTAGCTGCCCACTAAGCTCCTCCTCCCACCGACCCTCTACCTGCAGCCTGCTGCTGAATGGCTAGGTTGCCTCTGCCTACACCCTTTTCTCCCTCAGAGCAGGCAGCAGTGCTGGGACTGCACAAGCAGGGGAAGGAGCTGAGCTGGCAGGCACGGCTCTGCTTTGCTGTCTCCTCCCTCCTTGGACTGCAGGGACATGGAGTGCCACTGCCAGGAGGAGCTGCTTCTGGGTGTCCCTGTGCTGAGAAATTGGGGTGGAGGGGGAGTCCTAAGAACCTTTCTTTCGGGAGTGTGTAATTTGCCCCTCCAAAAACATTGATGCTGAAATGCCTGTGCAGGACTCAGGGTTCACACTTGAGTGGTCAGTCGGTGCGGCGGCAGCTTTAGGGTTGTTAGCGAGTTAGACCAGTGTTTCTCAACCAGTGGGACGAGTACCCTTAGGGGTACTCGAGAGAAGTCTGGGGGGTATGTCAACACAACTGAAATTTGGAGAAAACTGATTTTTTGTTTTACATTGGACAGCATTTTATTATTTTTGTACTTTTTACACTCAAAAATGTCATCGCCCGCCTGGCTATAATTAAGTTGTTTAAACTGATGTGTTGCAATGGTAGAAAAAATTTGGGGTGTCTGAAAACTGTAGGTACTGGGGGTACTTATAATTTTTTTTGAAAACGGGATACTTTATAAACAAAGGTTGAGAAACACTGAGTTAGATCACCGCTGGCTTGGAGACGTCAACATGGGCGGAAGTCACATGGCTGCTTGATGGGCAGACAGAACCAAAGCAGGGACGGGTCCTGCTACCCTATTTAAAAAAAAATGGACACCCCCAGGAAATGAATTGCCCAAGGTCCCGCTGGGTTCTGTGGCAGTGACAGAAATAAAAACCCAATCTCCTGAATCTCAGACCAACACATAAACCATACACGAGGCTCCTTCCTCTCCTGGATGCTGAGAAAAAGGACATCTAGAAAAAATGGAGAGAGAAATACAGACCTTGTCATCCAGAATAGGTTCGCACTGAGAGTAGTTGATCTTGGAAGCCCACGTCCCGTTTTCCATGCATTCTCTGTAGGCATTTCCTAATAGAGACCAAAATAAATGAATAAATAAATGCTCAACCCCACCCCCCCAAAAAAACCAAAACCCACAAAACACAATAACAAAACCCAGGGAGGTAACTTTACAGGCATGGAAGTTAAATGAGAGCCTTTTTTCTGGGCAAATAATGGACTCTGCCGCTGGGGAAGGAGGGTGGCAGAGCAGATCACTTGCTAGGGAGGGAAGAGAAGGAGAAATAAAAAGTATTTATAAATAAATACGAAGACAACGTGTTTAGAAGATGCTTGCTGACTAGGATTAAGGAGCGCAGCCAGAGACACACTCAAGACACAAAAGGACGGTAAAGAGCACAGAAAAAAAAGCAGCGTTGCTGTCTCTAAACCTCTGCAGTCCCTTAGGAACAACTCCAGGCTCCTGGTTCCAGAGCTGTCACCTCTTTTGAACAGAGATCTGTGTCTTTCCCCTTGCAGAGTAGAACATTTCCAGGCTACACAGTTCCCAGCCTACACTGTGATATTCCCCATAAGCCAGAGAGTATAAACCCGCCAGCGTCTGCGCTTTGCTTTCTCTCCAAAGGTGGTGAATAGCAGTGCCAGCAGTTACAAGTTACCACACAGTTCTTCCCAAGCAAGCACATTCATTCTGAAAGTGAAAGCAATACCGAAAACCCACTGAAATCAATATGAGACCTTGTATGCACCCTACCGCTACCAGAGATCACCCACAAACTCCAGCAGGGCCTCTGGTAGAAGTCAGCTCATCAAACCTCACCACAGGGGTTTCTGAGGTTGCAAGTTCTTCACGGCCTTAGCCCAGAACTATCACACCCACGAATAGGTTAGTTTCTCTTTTATACAGATGGGCCTTTGACAGTGAGACCCTGGAAAGAGGTGATCAGCAGACAATGATCCCCTCATGAGGGCATCTGGGCTTCTGTGTAAACAGGAGGTGAGGAATTTGACTCCTGAAGGAAACAGCTTGATGTTTGCAGTTCCCAGAGTCCATTCCCATCCAGTGCATTGTTCAGTATAGTCCTTTGAAATTCAGAACTATTCCCAATGTTCACATCACATCTTCCCCATGCAGAGCTGACATGCAATCCCACCCCTTAGAATACACAAATGGTTCATTTAATACAACAGACTCCAAATGTACTCAATTCAATAAGATCCCCCTCTTCTCTCCTTTTGGCTCATCTGAGGAAGTGGGTTTTGCTCACAGGAGCTCATGATTCCGTATATTTTTGTGAGTCTCTAAGGTGCTTCAGGACTACTAGTTGTTTTTAAAGTTACAGACACACACAGCTACCCCTCTGAGATTTTTAATTCAATAAGGTTTCCCCAAGGATATTTCAGGAACTTGACGTATCCGTCACAGTCTTTAAATAAATTGTGCAAAATTGTTGGTGAAATGTTGGGTGCCTAACACCACAACTTGGAGCGCATCATATTGTTTACAAAATTAATGTTGTAAGAAGAAGGCCTAAAACATAAACCCATGTATCACAGGCCCGGTGTGAGGCCAGAGGCCCAGGCATCAATAGTCAAGGCGCTGCTAAAATAAAGCAAACTTAAACTGTGAGCAAGAGGCAGGCCCTGCTCACAGAAGCTGGCAAGAACAGGGCTGATATTGCAGAAACACTGTTACCTAAGAAGTACTAGGCACAGGCCGTAAATGCATTCCAGAGGGATGGTAAAGGAACATCTCATTAAGAAACATCTTTGTACCAACACACTCCCCACAGATAAGAGGGACGTACCAATCCTGGCTTAGGATAGGGTCTAAAATGACAGCATGATGTGATGTGTAACTTGTTTGTACCTTTACATAAAATGTACCATAAGGGTGTTGCCCTTATCTGGCATAGGGGGCACTGGAGATTTCCGCAACTGACTGAGCTGGTTCATCGTTGCTGGCCTGGTACCTTTGATCTTTCTCTGATTGTGTGGTCTTTGGGGCTTCTCTCAGCATCTGCTGTACTGCCCGCCTGTGCAGAATAAGTGGAATGTACAGGGGGAACACACACATGCAGCCAATCGGTTTTCATCATTGGATGGAGCAAGATACCTGTCAGGACACCACGGTGGTGATTTCTGACCATAGTTATTACTATACAAACTCCCTTGCACTGGTGTACATTGGGACTAAAGCCCAGATCTACAGTGTGAAGTTTTGATGGCATAACTGTTGGGCAGTAATGTGAAAAATCCCCACACTCTCTAGCTTAAAATAAAAACTCCCAATAAAACTCAATAAAACCCCCAGCATAGACACCGCTATTCTGACAGAAGAATGGTTCCATCAGTACAGCTCATGCCATTCAAGTAAACAGGGATTCCACACTGGCAGTAAAACCTCCTCGAGTTGTTACACACATGCCCTGCCTACACTATGACCAGGGCTCGACAAATTAGGCAATCTACTCACCCGTGGCAAGTAGATTTTAGCTGGGCGGGGCCGTGCAGCATGCGCTTCTACGCGGCTGGCAAGCGGGGCTCGTTGCCGCTTGGCGAGCCCTGACTATGATGCTCTGCTGGCAAACCTACACAGCAAAACATATGGGCTACGTCTAGACTGGCATGATTTTCCACAAATGCTTTTAACAGAAAAGTTTTTCCGTTAAAAGCATTTGTGGAAAAGAGCTTCTAGTTTGGCACGGACGCTTTTCCGCAAAAGCACTTTTTGCCGAAAAGCGTCCATGCCAATCTAGATGCGGTTTTGCGCAAGAAAGCCCCGATAGCCATTTTCGTGATCGGGGCCTTTTTGCGCAAAACAATACCGCGTTGTCTACACTGCTTTTGCGGAAAAACGTGCAAGTCTAGATGCAGCCATGTAGTGTAGACAAGTGCGAGACATTGACTCTTCTTGGGGGCTGCCTTCCTCTGCAGTCTACTATATATTTTAGAAAGTTTGTCAGTCTGTCTGTCTGTTCAAGAACTGCTCTCAAATTCTAAGAGCTAGGACCACCAAATTTGATATCCTCAAATCATAATTTAAAGCAAGGTCAGGGTTTGGTTGTGGCAGGACAATGGAATGTGCCTGGAATGGAATTTCTTATCATAAAACCATATAGAATCGCCAGGCAGGTGAAAGGGCTGGCTGGGGGTGTGCTCCCTCCCTTGCCCGGAACTGTCCCAGTCCCAAGCCTCCCACCCTCAGGCACCCTTTTAGGAGGGGGCAGCTCCCCACCCCACCCCGATTCTTACAAGGATGTTGCTGGCTGTTCCCCAGCAGGGAACAGGGAGCGAGGGGAAAGTGCACAAACTTAATTGAGTTAAGGACCCAAGCAACGCTGGGTACATGTGTTAGTAGCAGATAAAGCAAACTACTCAACGATTCAGGCTTTGGGTCAAGCTTGGCGACCTTCCTGACAGAGCAGTCAAACTAGTCACGCAGGCTGAATTCAGGCCAGCTGGCTTTCCCATTGGCTGCTAAGATTCTCACTGTTAGCTGCATGAGATGTCACAAGTGGGGACAAAACAACAGTTCAGAGAGGATGGGAAAGCAACATGTGAACTTTCTCTGAGTTGATTTCAGTTTTAATTGAGGGCTGCTCCGGCCCAGCCAGCCAGTGTTTAAAAAAACAAAACAAAACAAAACAAAACAAAACAAAACAAAAAACTGTTCACAAAGAGTGTCTGAATCTCCTCGTGGGAACACTGGTACAAGGGAGGTGTAACCACACGGCAGTCTGTGGCGTTACACCAGCACAAAACTGTCCGGAGCGAGATCAGAAAGACGACCAAGCTGCTTCTGCCTTTTTGCCGGAACATTCTGTATGTCTCAAAGGCCAGTATTTGGTTAATGAGAGTTAATACAATACAGACTCCAGTTACTCCATTTTCTCTCCCTCCCCCCCTTTGATATAATTGCTTTCCCCTCACTGACTCCTCTGAAAGCAGATAATAATATCACTGAGCTCCTTTCAGAGCTCCACTGGATTATTTGCCAATTCTTCCCGTCCCCTTATTTTAAAAACCTCGTATCACCTACAGAAACAATAGCAGCTGCTCAGTGCAGCATCAGACCGGAGATTATTCTGTGCTGTAAAAGTTCTCTCTCTCTCTCTCTCTCTCTCTCTCTCTCTCTCTCGCATGCATGGCCCTTCCCCACACCCCTGCTGGGGTACCAGTAACCTAAATGTTTGAAGTCCTTGCAGAGAAATGAGTTCCTCAATTCAATTTCATGTTCATTTGAAATGTAGCCTTAAGGGATCCATGAGGCGTGCAAAACAGCATGCGTCTATTCTGTCGTCGGGAAACCAGATAATTCTGTGGCAATTTGAGAGGAAACGACATGGCTTTGATGTACAAACTATTTTATTTTCTATACATGCAATCACCTCCTGCTCCACATGGAAGCTTTGTGCAGCTTTTAAGTTTTTTCTCCTTGTCTATCACAGGCTGTAGCCTATCACAGAGAGAGGGACAGTTAGATAAACATAAAATAAAGACTAAACAATTCATTAAGATGCACACGGGGTAAAAGCTAGCAACTGATTATCTTCTCTACATCTTACCTTCTTCCTTCCTTTCCCCCCACCCTTGCTTTGGTCCATTTGCCTTTAATATACGGTCTGGGCAAGCCAAGCTGTTACACAGCTGTGCAGCATGGATGGCAGGAATAAGGATAAAACCAAGAGTCCTAATGCCCACATGCTGCTTAAAACACCTTTTTAAAAAGCAATCACTGAAGCAATTGCTAGGATTGGGTGGGATGGAGCTTTTGGCATAAATTTCCATTATTTAAGAATACTATGAGCCCCTTTCAACCTACCAGTACCTAAGTTCAAGAAGACAGTTCACAAAAGACATGGCTAAGAATCAACATGTGTTTGTTACAATAATACTCAAGAGCGTTTGAGATAGGATACAGGGGTGGAGGAATTGAACTGATGGCTACTGACTTCTAGTGCTATGCTGATGGCCAGGTAGCACTGATTGACTTCCTATCTTGGAAAATTACCCGTCACTCTCACAGGTTGTGTGTGATGGGCCAGTCCTCACCTACAGACAACCCC